GTTGCCCAGGGGTGGTGGGGCGGTGAGCTCTGGCCAGCTGCAGGCACGGGCAGAGCCCCCGTATGCCCGGAGCCAGGCCACCACCCCTGGCGCCGTTTCCGACATTTGCCATTTCAGCACCCACCTTCGCTGCAAGGATGGAGCCTGGAGCATGGCCAAATACATGGGCCTCCAGGGGTATCAGCTTGTTAACACCTGCGAACGACCAGCAGCAGGGCCAGTCTGCCACTTGGTAGATGAAACCCAAGTCCCAAACTCAGAGGCAGGATGGCAGCATGACCAAGGGCATGGGCTCTAGGGCACCTAGGTGCAAACTTGACCCTGGCCATGGATGGCCCAGGGTCGCTTGTCCCTGCCTTAGTTTTCTACCTAGAGAGCAGAGGTAACGGAAGTGGTAGTTGGGTGGATTTGTGGTAGGCAGTTAGACAGACATGAGCAGAACAGGGGCAGCGGGCTAGGTACAGAAGGTCACCAGGGCAGAAAACCCTGGGTGCCTAGCAAAGGGGAAAACTGAGAAAATGAGGAACTCGCCCCCAGGGTGATCTTCCTCCCCTGGCATATTGCTGGTCATTGGGATTAGGTCCCCTCACCTTTCACATCACTGGCCATGCAATTTGGACTCCCGCCAGACCTCTCCTGCCTGGGCATGTCACCAGTCATTCAGTAGGCCCACTGGGAGGAAGACCAAGAAGCTGAAGAGGGGCCTCGGACGACTCCCAGAAGCCCTGGCCTGCCTACCCCCTAAAGTATTCACCCCCGGAGATAACATCCAGGCTACAGCTGGGTTTCAGCTCCAGACCCAAAAAAGCAGCAAAAGCAAGTGAGACTACAGCTGGGTTTCAGCTCCAGACCCAAAAAAGCAGCAAAAGCAAGTGAGGCCATGGTTGCCATCAGGACCTGCTGCACTGACTAATAGCTGTCCCCTCAACCCCTGCCCTGCCCTGGCACCCACCTGTGAGTAGAGACCCTGGCCCTGAAAGGACACACCTGAGAAGGTGATGAATATTCGATTGGGATCCCCTCTAAGACCTCCACATAAATACCCGGGAGAGGATGTGCAGCACCACGCCCTCGCCTTCCCCGCCGTCTTCCCCAGGCACGTTTTCCTTTCCTCTCTTCTCCTACCCTCCAGGGGCCCTTCTTTTGCCTCTGTAACGTGTTTCCGGAGCCGATTCCTTCTGCGGCTCACTTCTTCTAGCTCTGTGACTTTCCAAAAATAAACTTCTCTTAAAGAGTCTTGACTTTGAATTCCTTCTTAGCCAGAACTCAAGTACCCAGGTTGCTGAACCGAGGTCCCATCTGATTCCACCAGCCTAACACCTGGTGAGGTTTTGCTACCAACAGATTCAGTGAGACAGTGCACAGGCAGTACCTGCTACCTCCATGGCTCCAGCACCCAGGCCTGCAGCTGCCTCTGTCCCTGCCTGATGAGCAGCTCCGAGCTTAGGGGTCATAAGTGCCCTACTCCTGGCTGCCCGGTTCTTCTTGCCCACAGACCCTGCGCAGGTAGCATTTATCACACAACCTTGTAATCATCTGTGGTGTCTGGGAGCTCCGGGCATTGGGGGAGGAAGTCTGGGTCTCCTCCGCTCCCGAGACCCCACCCCTGCTCATGGCCCGGACTCCCTGAGACCAAGTGCTTTTGTCTTCATGGCTGTGGCCTCAGGGGTCCCACACCCAAGACCGCTTGTCTCCTCACCACAGCTCCTAGCCTCCTTGACCCTGCATGGGCTAAGTGGATGTGTGGTTTCACTAATGACAAAACCACCCCACGTATTCCATGCATACCCTGCTCAGCTTGCCCGGGCCTCCAGGAGCTCCGCCTTCACCCCCTGGAAAACAAAAAAAGGGCCACATACTAAACCTGACAAGCTCAGGGGAGGTCTATATGGTAGCCTTACAAACTCAGAGACCTAAAATGGCCACATAGCATTGTCTGAAAACTTTCTAACTCAAATCAAGTCATGGTGGGTAGTCATGTCCTAGGCTAGTAGTATGTTTCTTGACACAGGTCAATCTTTACCTTAACTGAGTCTGTCCGTTGTCTTATTGCATCTACGATAACACACCTTTAGAATGTTAGGGTAATTTCCTTTCTCCAGACCCCTCAGGGCACAATCTCCCACCAAGGCTAGAGACCACAGAACCCCTCATTGTTGTTAACCGTTGACTATCCTATACCCTTATACCTATGTAGAAGGAGTATGTGTACATCCGTTTAACTTTTTATCCAATTCCAGAGATTCCCCCCACCCCCACCCCTGCAGCCCTGCTTTGCTTTGTCCTGCCTCCTTAATCCATCACCAATGAATATCATGTGACCACCCTAATGTCCTTCCCCTTGATGCTGATGTATAAAATAAGTGGTAAAACTGCCGAAGTCCATTGAGATTTTCCTTCCTAGCAATTGTGATCAGTTTGGCTCAAATAAAGTCATAAAAATTCTTACAGGTTTGGAAGTTTCTTACATTGACACCGTTTTTGCAGTACCCCCTTGGCCTCTTTCGCTTCTGCAAGGGGGACTCCGTTACTCTCTGGCTAAGTCGTGATCAAACATCCTGTCGCCTGGTGTTCAGATGCCTCAGACTGACACATGCCCAAGCCTGAGCTAAGCAACTAACCTCCCCAGGCCTCCCCTGGCCACTGTAGCCAGAGTCTAGCCTAGGCCACCCCCGCATCCTCACTCCTCCCATCCAGTGGCCCCTGCCTCTACACCCACTCTGGGCCGCATCGGACCCCCCGCCCTGCCCCATCTCCCCTTGGACTGCCCCTTCTCACCTGGCAACTCCTCGTCAGGGCTCCCAGCCCTTCTTGCGGCCTCAGTAGAGTTTCCCTAATGCAGCTCCAGTGCTCAGCCTGCTTAGCCCAACATGCCCCTCCCCCACCGAAAACCCTTCAAAATCCCCCTTTGGTCCAGATAAGGTCTTGCCTTGCTGGGTCTCCACCCCTTCTTCTGTGAGCTCTCCCCCGGGACTTCATGCTAGCGCTCTTCTTTCAGGCCCCAACCTCAGCGTCACCTCCAACAGAAGCCCTCCTCCACCTCTCGGTCAGGGGCCCTTCTGGGCCCCTGCTGTGTGGAGTAGCCCCCCCACCCCCCGCCTCTGTGGGTAGCTATCGTGTGGACTTGTGTATCTGCCTTAGTCTCCGCAGCGCCCGCAGTGCCCAGTGATTGTCACCGAATGGAAGGATGATGGCTTCTGGTGCCTGGGTGGGTTCAGGATAGCGCCATGGGAGAGTCGTTGGTAAAAAGAGCAGCCACACGTGACCCAGCACGGCTGTGTGCCAGACTCTTTCCTTCCTCTGTCCAATCCTACAACACCTTTGCTAGACGGGCATTTTATTTTCCCCGTTTTACAGGCGAGGAAACAGGTTTGCAGAGGTTGAACAGTGTCTGCTCAAATTTCTGTCTACCCAGGAGCTCAGAATGTGACTTTATTTGGAAATAGTCTTTGCGGGTGTCATTACTTCAGATGAGATCATATTGGGGTCGGGTGGAGCTCTAAAGCCAATGACTAGTGTCTGTGAGGAGGCCTTGTGAAAAGAGAGAGATAGGGGGGCTCGGAGGGAAGGCCATGTGACCGCGGGGGCAGAGTGACGCAGCCGCAAGCCAAGGGAAGTTAAGAACTGCCGGCAACACCAGGAGAAGACAGGGATTCTTTCCTGGCGCCTTCCAGAGACAGCATGTCCTGCCGACGCCTTGATTTCAGACTTCAGCCTCCAGAGCTGTCAGAGAATCAATTTCTGTTGTTTTAAACCACCAAGTTTGTGGTAATTTACTCTGACAGCCACAGAAAACTACTACAGCTGCCTACTTCACCTACGTTTGCACACCCCACAGGTGGCATATCCAGGGGGTTTGAATCCAGGTCCTGAGCCTGCATCTGTGGTCCCCACGGAGATTCCTGGTCCTACAGAAGGCTGACATGCCGCCTTTGCAGAGCCGGCTCCTGGAGATGCTACCGCCATAGAGCAGCCATCTGCTTCCCTTCTCCTAGTGAGGGCCAAACCACCCTACATCCTTCCTTGCAGGGGCTGGCAAGAGACTCAGTGTCATCTGGCTACTTGTTGAAGTATCATCGGCCTTGGGCTTGGGCTATCCCCCTGGTGGAGAAGCTAAAAGGTCTAGTTCCAGTCACAGCCACAGCCTTTCACCCAACCTGCTGAGTCATCAGGACCTTGGTTTCCTGTCACTTCCTCTTGGCCACATGGGTGGCCAAGGGCTTGGGAAGCCAAAGGCATGGTGGTCACTGCTACTTATCTCGTGGTTGCCTACAGAAGGGCCTGAGGTCTGGCTCTCTGCCCCCACCAACTCTCTGGTTCTCCAGTCTCTCCCTCACTGGCTGCCCAATGCGTAGGGCTGCCCCAAAAGACCTGTCATGAGCCCCTAAACTTCCACCTCAGCCCCGGCGGCTGAGAGGGCAAATTCACAGCCCCCTACCCCATGGCGTCTCCACAAACACAGCTCTGCCACCCAGGACGACTCCAGGGAGCGGGGCCAGCAGCCCAGTCAGGGACACATGAAGACTGGCGGGGGAGAATGACGCCTCCATGCCAGATGTCACAGCTCTGGCTCTGGGGGCTCCTGTCCAAGTCAGGTGAGGCCAGAAAGGGTCCTCAGGAGCCAGCTCAACTTAACCACCTCCAAGAGAGGGCGGAGGGAAACCCACCAGGACCACCCTCCCTCCACTCCTGGAAAAACGTCCTCTCGGCATCCCCCAGCCAGGGACACAGAGGGTGGGGTGGGGGGTGATGGGTAGGCTCCGCCAGACCCTGAGCTCTGCGCACGCCCCCCTAGGCCACTGCCCGGTTAGCCCCTTTCATGATGCGAGGCTCAGCCCTCCTGTTTCTTATCCCCCGCACCCTCCTCTCAGTCTCCTCACTTTTGAGGTGACAATATCCAGGCCTGGCTCACCCCCTGGAAGGATATGGTCAGGATCTGGGAGTCATCCCAGCTCTGGCTTCAGCCCTGAGGACGTGGGAGAGGGAGAGGAGTGTCTTACCAAGCTGCCAGCTCTGGGCAGGGGGTCTGAGCAGTCCCTGCGGCTCTGGAGCCGCTGCTTGAGTCTCTGGCCCTGTCACTACCACGTCAGTTTGGAGACAGTGCCTTGGCCCTAAGGGAGGCCTGCCAGGCAGTCCTGCAGGTTTGCCAGAGAGGAAACCTGTGGTGCCAAGGTGGCCCCAGGACAGCGCTGGCTACGGAGGCGGGATGGGAGGCCAGCAGTTCTCAGGACAGAAGAGAGTCCAGGACAGGAAGGCCCCAGGAACAGGTCCAGTGGGGGTGCCCGAGGCAGCAACAGAGGCGGAGGTTCGGTGAGCGGTCAGGGGATGAGGACACCGCCTTGTCCCAGGGGCTCAGCCCCGGGAGGCCACAGAGCCCGACACCCTGTCCCCAGACTCACTCTTGGGCAAGCAGTGCATAATCTAACGGAAGGAGCCTGACCCTGCCCTCATTTCACTATGTGCCCTTGGACAGTCTCCCTTCACCTTCCCACCACCCTTTCGGCACCTGTGTCCAGATTCACTAACCTCACAGGCTGGACACGACCTTCTTGCTGTGGCAGTTGGGGGCTGGAGCCTAGTGCCCCAAATGCCTTCTACCCAAGGAACATGAGAGGCCCAGAGCTGGGAACACTCTTTGAGATGGGCAGGCCCTAGTTCAAGCCGGGTCCTGGAGGAGTCAGAGCTCCCCCCTTCTCACACTGCCTACCCACCTCTTATCAGGCAGGAAAACCCAAAGGCAGGAGCAGGTGCCACTTGCCCGCTGCCAGCCTGCCCAGAGCTGGGCTTAACCATTAACCAGCATTCCTCATCTCGTTTATCTCCCAGGGCTGAGATCAGAGGCCTGGGTCAGAGGGGGCCAGCTCCACCCTACCTGCCCAGGCCTGTCCCTAACCAAGCAGGGAGGGGCAGGAAATACTTGTTATTAAAGGGGTGTACGGGTCAGATACTACAATTGCTGTCTGCTGGGGTGATTCCTGAAAGTGTGTCTTGGCACTACAAAAAGCTGGCAAACGTTCAGTGGAACCCTCACCTACCCCGCCCCGACTCGAAGTCCAGGGCTCTTTCACAGCCCAAGCGACTGCTTCACAGTCAGCGCTGGGGTCAGAGGGTTTTGAGGCGGCAAGTGCCACCTCGTCCTGGCTGGGCTCAGCGACTGCCCCGGCGAGGGCAGTCCCAGAACTCCAGAGCTGGGGCTAGCGTGGGCGAGGGACTCTCCTCCACCAAGATCCCCCAAACCAGGTGTTTGGGAGCTCTGGGACCCCAGCAGGAACCCACGCCCTCCCTTCCCGGGCTGTGGCTCGCTCGGCAGGGATGCGCAGCCCCGGAACCGGCGTTCTCCACCCAGCGCTCTCCGGCCGGGGGCGGGGCCGGAGCGGGCCGAGGGCGGGGGCCTGGGGCGTGGCTCAGACCGTCTGGCCTCCCGCCTACCGAGCGGCAGCCGCGCCGCAGCCATGGGGGCGCGGCTGGGCCGGCGGTCCGGACCCGAGGCTGGCCCCGAGGCTGGGGCGGCGGTGGGGTGTGGGCCCGCGCCCTATGAGCGCCGGGTGCGCTGGCTCCGCGAGATCCAGTCCACGCTCCGCGAGCGGCGGCCCGAGCGCGCCCGGCAGCTGCTGCGCCTCCTGCGCCAGGCGAGAGAAGGAACGGGCCCGCCCGAGCTGGAGGCCAGGGAGGGGCCCGGGGCAGCGGGCCGCGGGCCTGGAAGGTGCCGGGAGGCAGGGCTGGCTCCGCGCAGGCCTGGCGGGTCCCGAGGGGAGGGTACCACTGGCTGCCCGGGTGGGAGTATTGTCTGTGCGAGAGAGAAGGCGAGGGAGGGAGGGCAGCAGGCTAGAGTGAGGGCCACCGAGGCCGGGAGAACTGTGAGTGTGGAGGGGAGGGCAGCTGAGTGTTTGTGCCTCTGGGGCCTGAGGTCACTTGTGTGTTGAGGGTGCTCCAAGCGAGGAGGTCTAAGAGCCCAGATTCAGGCCTTAGCAGGAAAGGAGGGGGTGCTGGGAGGAGTGGCAAGTGTGGGCATCTTGTATTGAGGGGTAGTGGGAAGCCCTCAGCTCTCCCTTCCTCCAGAGTGAGGGGAAGCACCGGACCCTGGGAAGCAGCCCCGCTGGTCAGCGGGTGCGTCCTCACCATGGCAGCCCAGACAGCGCGGCAGCACCCATCATTGGACATTCTCCTAGAGGGCAGCTCAGGCCCATTGATTGCTCACGCCCATCAAGTCCACAGCCCTGGCATCTGTACATCACATCACATCTGGACAGGCCAGAGGCTCTGGTCCCACACACACCAGGCATCTGAGTCCTGGATCCCAAGCTCTGGGTTGCTCTACCCCTGGGTTCTGGTCCCAGCGTCACCACTAGGCAGGCCACTGGCCTCTCTGCACACATCCCTGCCCCCTACCCCATCCTGTAAGCTGAAGTCAATCGTGCATGTCTTGGGCCTGTAGATGGATGATTAGAGGTGGGAACTGAGGCTTGGAGAAGAGTGGTGAGCCGAGGACCACAGAGCAGTGTGGGGACCAGCCCAGGCCACAGCCCAGCCTCCATTCTCTCAGCCCTGCTGCTGCTGCTGCTACACTCCTCTCTGGGCTCAGCAGGCTGGAAAGGTGGGGCTGGCCCTTTAAGAGGAGCTGTCCAGACCAGCAGAAAGCAGGCTGCGGTCTGGGGCCCTGTCTATGTCAGCCTAGGCTCACCAGCCACCCCTCCCTTTTGGATCCTCCCTAGCTGGCATCTGTGACATGAACTTAAATGGTGCTTAAAATGCCAGACTATCCAGAGGCACAGATCTCTCTCTGAGATGGCATCTGGAGCCCAAGGCACCAGCTAGGTTGTACCATCATGTCCCAGAGGTTGGGATTCCAGGCCCGGTGAGAGGCCTGTCCTGCCCCATGACTCCCAGGGACTCTGCAGTTATGGCCTTTGGGCATTTCTTCCTGGCCTGTCTTCCTGTGCGAAGCAGGGCTTATGCATCAAACATGTCACCCTTTGGCTTGGGTTGGGGGCGCCCGCATGGATTCTGGAGGCGCCCCGTGGCAGTGCCTGCCCCATCAGCTTGTAAATATATCCTCTAACCAGACCCTCTAAAAGGTTGTTTCATGCCATACCAGGCCCATGCAAGTAACAGGAGGTCAAGGACTGAAGGCAGGAAGGCCAGAGGCCCTGATGGTGGGGCTATGCAAGGGATGAGAGCTTTGGAGGCTAGATGAGGAGGCTCGTGGGCCAGGGAGGGCCGATGACAGGCTTCAGAGATTTCTAAGACTGCAGACTATGTGAATCTGATATCACACACCTTCAAGAGTATTTGGTCTCCACAAAAGGGGTCAAGGGTCAAGCTCAGGTGTGTGTTTCATAGAGCCACTCGAGCAGCCTGAGGGTGGAACGGGGAGGGTGTCAGAAGGCCAAGAGCCCCAGGAGTAAGCTGTTGCATGAGGCCTGACCCTCCTTGAGCAGAGGGGAGGGAGAGTTGGGCGGAGAGGGGGTGAGGGAGAGTGCAGACCGATTCCTGGCCCCTGGGAAGGTGGGGATGGTGACTCCCTTTATGAGCTGGGGCACAGGTGGGGCCAGCCTCAGGCCGGGAGACGAACATGCCTAGTCTGAGCTGAGAGAGAGGTTCACCCCCAGAGGTAGGGTCTGGACCTGTGGGCAAACAGGCGGTGGTGGCAGAAGCTCAGGGGCGCTTGGAAATAGGTGGAAGAGGCAAAGGGCCCAAATGGAATACAGGACAGTGGCCTTTGGGGGTCATCAGAGGAACTCCGAGGAATCCCCTAGACAAGCCCAGTCCCAGAAAAGGCATGATGTCACAGCATGGTGTTTCAGCTCCAGGGAACCAGTCTAAGGGCTCCAGGACCCACTTATCACGTCCCTGAGGCCCCTGCCACACCGACCCCTCTCCTCATCTAAGAGATCCACCTGCCCTTGGCCAATTGGCCCGTTGCCACCTGTGGGGAGACTCCAGCAAACCTCAGGGAGAGAGACGGAGAGGCGGCAACGGACGTGAGGGGCCCCGGCTGGCCGGGAGGCCTGCAGAAGGCTGACCTGACTCTTGGTTCACTCAACTCTTCACCACCCACAGGACCTGGGCCTTGAGGGCACCCTCCTCACTGACATCCTCTACAGGAACGTGGCCTTCCTCAACCTGGTGGACCCCATCTCCCACGACCTGCTTGTGAACTTGGCCCGGGACCTGCAGTGCCCCAAGGCGGTGAGGCTGCTAGGCAAGGGCCTCAGGTGGGGCGGTTTGGTTGACAGGGGTCATGAGGGCCCAGGGCTGAGGGCGAAGAGCCTGGGGCCCCATTTGGCGTGCTTTGAGGCATTAGACAGGTCGCTGCCCCCCTCTGGAACCTGATACCAGCTTCAGTGTATTAGACTGGCCAGCAGCGGGGGCAAGTGTGAGCTGCGCCAGGTGGACTGTTTCCTGAGTGACAGCACTGTGCACCAAGCCCTGAGACCCAGGCAGGAAGTTGTATGGGGACCCTGCAGGACACAGGATGTCCTGATCAATACACCAGTGGACCCAAACTTTCAGCCTCAGTTCCTGGGCCAGAAGAAAGCCACCCTTCCCCATCCATATGTCCCCATTTTATAGGAATACCCTTGGGGACAAGTGCTCACTGCTTCCCACAGCATCAAGAGCCACAAGGAGGTCCCTCCTCATACTGGACGGCGTCTGCCCCCAGCAACCTCCACCCTATTCCCCCCCCCGCACCCCATCTGCCCAGAACCCTGCTCCGAGGGCACCTGCAGACATCCATGCGCATTGGATGCGCTGTGCTCCTGACAGCCTCTGGCCAGCTCCCAGCCCCCATCCCTTAGTCACAGTGAGTCTGTGTGAGACAAGGGTGCCCACTATGAGCCCTGCCAGCTCTAGAACCCCAGCATCTATAAGCAGTTGTCACCGAGGAATCTGACGTAGACTACAGCCTTCAGTGACTGCTGGCGCTTGCTGCCACTAGGCATGCACGCTGTGAATGGGGTGGATAAAGAACATATGGGTAGCCGAGTGTGCCTGGTGCCAGCTCTGGAAAGCATGGCACCCCCGTTTTCTGCCCGAGCGAGGCCTTTACATGGGCCCACTTAGGCCCCGGAGAGAGCCAGGTGCTGGTGTTGTAACACACCCACCCTCCCAGCCCGGGCAGCCCAGACCCAGGCCCCACAGGCGCAGTCTAGATTGGAGAGTGAGAGGAAGAAGAGCATGCTGACCTGACTTGTTCCTATTCTCTGGGGGCGGCGTCAGGGAGGCAAGGCTCCCTGGAGGGGCTTGGTCCTGCCTCCCCTGTGGCGAGTCTCTGGGGAGCGCTGAGAGTCGGCACAGAGCCCGCTGATAGCCTGAGATGCTGGCCCGGGGCCCGAGGACAAGGAACAAGGGCCCATTGTCTGAACGTCCTCCCGCTGGGCACTGTGGGACTCAGACCAGCCTGTCCAGCTCCCAGCGGGCAGCCTCCCCTGGCTCTGGGCCAGGCCATGGCCAGGTGGGGGGCGGGCAGGGGACCAGGGGTAGCTCAGTGATCCATGATGAATGACTGCTCCACTGGCACACTAGGATCCCCAGGACCCAGAGGGTGGGGGGAAGGGCTTGGCCTCCCCGTGACAGCACTGTCCCCCTACAGGACTATGAGCTCTGGAAGTCCTCGGACAAAATTTGCCGGCAGCTCATCTACCACCTCACCCCTCACTCCAAGCGGCAGAGAGAGTCCAGCCTGCCCCAGAAGAAGACCCAGAGCTGGTAAGGGGAGTCCAGCCACAGCCCTGCCTTGCGCCCCTCAGGGTCCCTTCCCAGGCTGATGGGGAGAGGCAGGGCCAGCCCTAGGGGAGTACCCGGGCTTCTCAGAAAGAGGCTGGTGCCTGAAGCCCCACCCGGTGGGCCCTCACTGTCATCTGCACCACGGGCTCCACTGATGGCAGCCAATACCCCGCTACCCAAGCCACACTCTCTGTACAACCCGCCTCCTATTCACTCATCGAGGCCTCAGTCTCTGGCCTGTCACCAGGCCTGGACCCCTAGACAAAGGCGACCTTACCAAGTGCCAGCTGAATTCTCAGCTGACAGGCTGTGAGGGACAAGGTTTGGGGTTATGATTCCCATTTTACTGGGAAGGAAAATGAGGCTGAGGGAGGCAGGCTGGCTTGCCCACGGCCGCCCTGTCCTCGCCTTCCTGCCTCCCTCCAGCTCTGCGCCAGGCTGCCTGAAGCTCACGCGTCCAAGCCGGTGCGATAGCCCGCTCTGTCGTGGGATCCTCCTCTCACTCCCGGACAGCCTCATGGCCACAGACAGCTCAAGAACCAGCCACAGGCCCCTAGACCCAGGGGCCCAGAACCACAGGCCTGGTGCTCTCCCGGACCTCCCTCAGCCCTGGTGGCTCGTGCTGAGCCCCAAGCCCACAGGGTTGTCCCCTGTCGTGGCAGGCAGGGGCCTGGAGGTGGTCCTACTGCTTTTGTCCCCCAGGCAGGCCTATCTGCCTAGCGGGCCATGCTCAAATGACAGGAGAGACCTAAAGAGGGGTTCCAGGGTCAGCAGGGGACACTCCTCAGTTTCTCAACTTCCTTCCCAGCTTAGAATACAGAAAGCCCTTCCCCATAGCAGGCCCCCACCCCCATTCCTATGGCCTCCCTTCTGGCTACCCTGGGCCTGCCCCCTCTCTAGCCCCAAGGTCTGGGGACAAGCTTGACACCCTGTCGCCCTCATCTCTCCTTAGGGAATGTCTCTCCTTACCCCCACAGCATTGACCTTCGAGGAGGCACATGAAAAAAACATGTGGGCTCAGGGGTTAGAACACCTTGGTTTGGAGACCTGGCTCCCCACTTAGCGGTGTGTGACCGCGGAAAAGACTCATCACCTCTCTGAGCACCCATTTGCCCCTTTGCAGAGTGTAATGATCATTCCTACCCCACTGGGCTGGCCCAGAAGTGAGACGAATGTGACAGGTGTGGAGTTGCAGGTACACAGGTTTTTATAGCAGCTCATGGAGCCTCACCCGGTGTGTGTTTAACCCTCACAACAGCCAGGTCCCCTCTCACCACCGGGGAAGCAGGTTCAGAGGGGTTCCGAGCACTGCCCGCAGCCACCCATGCAGAACGTGGCAGTGTGGTCCCGGCTTGGCTGGACTGTAGGGCCTAGGCCTCCCCACCTCCCTGCACCGCCCCAGTGGGTCATGGTCTTTGACCAGCGGGGTCTGCCTGGGCCATGGACCCGGGCTCAGTCCATCCCTGCCCACAATCTTCCCGCAGCCTCAAGAGCAGCCTCCAGAAGACTCTGCTGGCAGGGGAGACTGTGAACCTTTCAGGGATCCCGCTGTCAACACGGGACGTGGAGCACATAAAGCGCTACCTGGGCAGCCAGGGCGCTGGGCTCACAGCGCTGGACCTGAGCTTCACAGGACTGAGCGACGAGCTGCTGCACCTGCTGCTGCCCAGCCTGTGGACGCTGCCTCGCCTTTCCCAGCTCCTGCTCAACGGCAACCGGCTGACACGGGCTGCTGCCCGTGAGCTCACCGAGGCCGTCAAGGATGCGGCCAAGTTCCCTGCGCTGGCCTGGGTGGACCTGGGCAACAATGAGGACGTGGCCTCCCTGCCCCAGCCCCTGCTGGTCGGCCTGCGCCGGCGGCTGAACCAGCGCACCTCGCTCCCCACAATCTATGAAGGTCTGGACCTCGAGCCCGAGGGCAGCACAGCTGGGGCCACCACTGCCGCCTCCACCTGGGGCTCCGCAGCTGCTGGGCCAGGGTCCGGGTTACAGGCCTGCTGTACCAGGTGACCGCCCCCACCCTGGCTCCTGCCGCCTGGCTGACAATGCCCCCAAGCACCTGGGATGGGGACGATGGAGGCCCTGGAGGCCCCCCAGATCCGCAGAGATCCAGTGCACAGCCTGGGATTCAGGGGATGGATGGAGAATGGGCTCATCAGAGGCTCGAGGGTCAGCCCAGGCTGGGGTCTCAGCCTTTCCTCAGCAGGAGGGGTCCAGCGCCTGCTGTGCAGACCCCACAATAAAAGGCGATGCTCCCTCTGCCTCAGCTCCAGCCCGCCTGCATCGTAGACACGGAGTGCCAGCCCTGCTGCTGGGGTGCGGAGACAGGGGAGCCAACTATTCACTATTCACAGACCCTGCCCTCCTGAAAGGGGGGGACCAAAGTCACACCGATCTGCCTTCAGGTGCTCCCTGGGCAGAGACCAAGGTGTAGGGGTCAGATCCATCTGTGGGCTGGGGACTTAGAGGAGCCTCCAGGGACTGGCCCTCACATCTGGGCAGGGCTTGGTCAGGCTGGGGAGGGGCATTCTGGAAGCCCAGAGAGGTCTAGCAACACTCTGAATGGGGCTCACCGCAAGCTCATGCCTCTGCCTGGGCTGCTGACCTCCGGACCAGGGCCCCTTGGGCTAGGCCCACTACTGCTGACTATTGTCTCCCCAGCGCACAGCACTGGCCACCAGCCCGCTCCTGCCCCCAGGCCTCCTGTCCTTGGTGAGTGGGCAACTCCACAAGGCTAAGAGGCACATCAGACCAGAGATGGAGAGCTTGTATGTCCCCTCCAGGCCCTGGGGGCCACGTGGACAGTCCTCCCCTGTGGGGGACCCCGAGAGGGCACGCATGGAGTGGCGGTGGGCACAGCCAGCAGCAGAGGCCTCTGGGGCCGAGCAGACCTAGGGCTGCCCCCGAGAGGTGGCTTGCTCCCAGCAGAGGGCTGTCTCCCTCCCCACCAGGCTCCAGACCAAAAGCCTAAGGCCATGGTCACCCCCCCGGCCCTGAGTGGAGAGCCGGAGTTCAGCCCAACTCCCTATCAGGCAGGGCAGAGACAAAAAAAAGGAATTTAGAGACGTCTTGCTGGAAACTGAGGCCCGGAGCGGAGATGCCAGTGCTCTAAGGCTCCTGTGCAGAGCCAGCAGGTCAGGCCTGGGTGCCGGGGATCCTGCTGGATGAGGGATCCGAGGCAGAGGGAAGCCCCAGCAACCAAGAAGGCGGCGGTCCTGGGGTGTGTACCTCGGGCCACCAGCTCTGACCAGGGGACTGCGCTGGCAGGGGCCACAGCACACCTTCAGGCCAGCGGGATGGATAGCAGCCTCTTGAGCCAGAGGGAGACGGCCGAGAAGGGTGAGGGTGGGATGGTGGTGGTCCCAGGATCAGACGGGAGGCAGTGAGAAGGGACTCCCTGTTCTAGGCTGCCTGCCCCACCCTCAAGCCAGGCCCCCCTGGTCTTGCACTTTCCCAGGAACCCTGATCCGGAGGCGATGGGAAGGGCACCCCGTCAGCCAAGCTCTGCTCTGGACTTGCCATGAAACCCGGCCAGGCCTCCCCTTTCCCCTGGAGCCTAGTAGCTCGGGAGCCACAGGAGCATCTCCCTGTGCACCCACCCTGGAACATGGGGCTGAGGCTCTCTTGGGTGAGGCAAAGCAGGGCAGGCGGTGGAAGGGGCCAGCGGAGAGAGAGTAACAGGGAAGATGGCCTTGGGCCCGGCAGGCTGATAAGCCTGTTGCTGTTACTCGCAGGCAGCCCTGATCTCCTTTGACTCGCTGGAGAGATGCCAGGCTGCCCCCTGCCCTCCAGCCCTCCTCACTCCCTGCCCACCACTGGCCCCAAGTCAACCCACAAACCTTGAATGTCACCTCTCGGAGAGATTCCTAACAGGATGGAGTGAGGACCTGAGCCGGGTGTTGCCAGGCGAGCTCTAGGAGAATCCAGGCGACAGCAGCTGGTCTCAATCTCCCCGCCTCTTGGACGGAGACACTTGATGTAACAGCCGAGCTGGAGCATGAAATAGCTCAAAAGGGTTGGCCTTGTTGCCATGCAGGTATCCACAGCCCCTTTAAGGGGCCCTCACACTGGGGCCTCAAACCACCCGTGAGGCTCCCCTATGGGCCTCGACTCTTCAGGAATCGGGGGCATTTTGCGACTCACCCAGTCTGGTGGGCTGAGTACCCGCCAGGCTGGCCCCAGCCCAAGGTCCAGATGAAGGAGCCAGCAGGTGGGCCCCACTCAGGCCAGTCCCGATCCAGTCTGTCTTGGAGGCAGACAGGCCACGTCACCCACTGGCGGTCTGGTCCTCTCCAGGCCTGTTGGAAACCAGGTAAACCAAGCCTCCTTTCATCCTGCTGGATGGAGTGAGGATGACGTAAGGTTTGGAAAGTGTCTGCCATGTGGGGGGCAACAGGGCTCATCAGTGGCAGGAGGGCCTCCACCCAGGGATCTCTGGGTGGGAGTGGCAGGAGCCAAACCTTTGAGGCGAGGCAGGACTGAAGTCATTTATTTAGCAAGTACTTCCACTGTCCTCTGGGACAGGTACTGTTCGGATGACTTTATACTCCTTAAATTCTCTTTGCACTTGAAGGAGATGGGTGCTACTATCACCTCCGTTTTGCAGATGAGTAAACTGAGACAGAGAGGCTAAGTGGCTTGTCCAAGGTCAAGGTCTAGGAACCGGAGGAGCCTGGATGTGAGCCGGGCTGCCTGGCTTCCGCCTGCAAAGCTAACTCTATGCGATGCGCCCTCTCTCACAGCCGTCCCAGGGGCCCAGGATCCACGGGAACTTCTGAGCCAGCCTCTTCCCGAGAGGCCACTTGCAGTAGGAAACCACCACAATGGTGTCCTGTGGCAGGCGGCAGACCTCCAGCTCTGCTGCCCCTGGAGTAAGGCCAGTGAGAACCTCTCCGGGCCTCAGTTTCCCTGAGCGCAAAGTAGATGGGGAGGAGAGCAGTGAGGGTCCAGGCTCCGCCCTCTTCCGGGACCGAGAGGGGCTCATGAGGAGCACGTTTGGAATCACCTGTCAGACTGAACAAAGCCCAGTCTTGAGCGCAGGAGTGCAGGGCCCATGCTCACTTCTGGCAGTCTGCCTGGGACAGCCACACGTGCCTTCACCTCTCTGGGCCTCAGCCACCTCAAGCCTGACCCTGCCGCGCCAAGATGTTGAGTGTATCTCAGAGAAACATGTAGAAAAGCTAACTGTCCCACATTAAAGTAGAAATACCAAATGCTACAAGTTTAGTGTGTAATATAACACATTTTGACTTGCATATACACCCGTGAAACTACCACCACAATCAAGACAGCAAAGATACCTATCACACCCAAAAGTTTCCTCGTGCCCCTTGGTAAGGCCTCCCTCCCTCCCCCTACTGCCCCATCCACGAGCAACCACTCATCTGCTTTCTATCCCTACAGATTAGTTTGCATTTTCTAGAGTTTTAGATATATGGAATCACACAGGTGCGCTCTTCTTCTGTGACTCCTTTCACTTAGCGTAATTATTTTGAGATTACCACAAATGTTGCATGTATCAATAGTTCCTTTTTTTTTTTTTTGGCTGAGTGGTATTCAATTGGATGGATGCACTGCAATTTATCAATTCACCTGTTGGTGGGTATGTGCGTTGTTTTGTTTCTGGCTACTACAAATAAAGTTGCTGTGCATATTCATGTACAAGCTTTTCCATGAACATAGAGTTCATTTTCTCTTGGATAGTAGTATTTCAATATGGTTTTCTTTTCTTGTAATGTCTTTGCCTGTTTTTGCTATCAGGGTAATGCTGGTCTCATAGAATGATTTGAGATGTGTTGTCCTGTCGCCAATTTTTTTCGAAGTTTGTGTAGAATTGATATTATTTTTTCCTTAAATATTTGGTAGAATTCCTCAGAGAAGGCACATGGGCCTGAAGTTTTCTTTGTGTGAGGATTTTCAACTACAATTCTAATTTCTTTAATAGATTAGGTATTAGTCAGGGTAGGTATTTCTTCTTAAGTGAGGGTTGATATTTGGGGTCTATTAAAGAATTTGTCCATTTCATCTAAGTTTTTGAACTTACTGGCATAAAGTTGTTCATAATATTTCCTTTCAGTATCTCTGGAATCAGTAATAATCACCTTTCATTCCTGATACTGGCAATTGTCTTTCCACCCCGCTTCCCCTTCCTGATCAGTCTGGCCTGAAGTTTATCAGTATTATTGATTTGTTAAAGAATTATCTTAGATTTCACTAATTTTTCTCTGTTGCTTGCTATTTTCTAGTTCATTGATTTCTACTTTGATCCTTATTTCCTTTCTTAGGCTTACTTCCAACTTCACTGGCTCTTCTTTTTCTGGCTTCTTAAATGAACCTTCTTGTATGCTATTACTATAGTTGAGATATTCACCTGCGATCTTTTATTTCCTAATACATTTATATGTTTAGTGCTACAAATTACCCACTCTAAGTTCTGCTTTAGTGGCACCCATGACTTTTGATATGTTGTGTTTCCATGTTCAAGCTGGTTCAAAATACTAATTTCTTCTTTGGTTTCTTCTTTGATTCATGGGCTTACTCAGAAGTGTTATTTTGTTTCCAAGTACTTACAGATTTTTCAAGGATCTTTCTGTTAATGATTTCTAATTTAATGTTACTGTGGTCAGACAACATAGTTAATATGGCTTTTGAATCTTTGTGACTGTTCTGTGTACACTTGAGAAAAATGAATATTCTGCTATTGTTGGATGGTGTTAATAAAAGTCAGGTTGACTTACAGTGATGTTCATTATATCCTTGCTGATTTTCTGCCTACTTGCTCTATTAGTTATTGAGAGGGGAACCGAAATTTCTGACTTATTTGCAATTATCTATTTCTTGTTGTAGTTCTATCCAGTTTTGCCTTCATGTATTTTGTAACTTTATTATTAGACGCATAAATGTTTAAGATTTTTATGGCTCCTTGATTAATTCTATCATTATGAAATAATTTTCATTATCCCTGATGTCCTTGCTTTGAAATCTACTTGTGTGATAATAATAGCTCCTCCAACTTTCTTTTGATTAGCGTTAGCAATGGTATTATCTTTTACTTTTAACCTATTTATGTCTTTATATTTAAAGTGTTTCTTACAGGTAGCATGTAGTTGGGTCTTGCTTTTTTTTAATCCATGAAAATCTCTGCTTTTTAATTGTAGTGTTTACACCACTTACATTTGATATGACTGTTGATATGATTAGGCTTAAGCCTAACATCTTGCTCTTTACTTTCTATTACCCAATCTGTTCTTT